TAGCAACCATATATAAAACAACCATGAAACCACACATCGAACACCCTAGCAATGACACAGAACCACAAGCAACCCCAAGGAACGCCCTAGCAACCCTAGCATTCACACAGACCTGCCAAGCAACCACAGGAAACACCCCAGCAATGACACAGAACACTTAGCAACCACATGAAACACCCTAGAAACAGCAGAACACCCTATCAAAACTCTGGCTCAGACTCTGCTATTGGTTGGGGAAATTCCAAAACAAACCATTACGATTGGCTTAAGATTGGCAGCGCAAAATTCGGGACATTGCAACCTGCAGAACCTGGGAACTTTAAAAAAAAATTAAATAAGCCTTAGTATATACTCAGACAAGATGACATAACATCGAAACTGGATGCTAAATATGTCTATTATTATTCCATTAAATAATTAGCTTTATTATAAATAATATACACTGCTTATAATTGTGGGGCAACACAGTGCTGCAGTAGGTAGTGCTGTCGGCTCACAGCGAGAAGGTCGCTGGTTCGAACCTCGGCTTAGTTGGCGTCCTCCCTGCGTTCGCGTGGGTTTCCTCCGGGTGCTCCGGTTTCCCCCGCAGTCCAAAGACATGCGGTACAGGTGAATTGGATAGGCTAAATTGCCCGTAGTGTATGAGTGTGTGTGTGTGTGTGTGTGTGTGTAGGTGTGTGTGTGTATGTTTCCCAGAGATGGGCTGCGGATGGAAGGGCATCCGCTGCGTAAAAAACTTGCTGGATAGGTTGGCGGTTCATTCCACTGTGGGGACCCCGGATTACTTAAGGGACTAAGCTGACAAGAAAATGAATGAATGAATGTTTATAATTGTCATTTTTTATAATTATTATGGTCTGTTTTACCCCTTTGGTCATAAATTTCTCATTTATTGCATACTTTACAACTTTAGTCATGTAAATATACTACAAATTTTAGGTTAGGGATAAAGTACACCCAGAAAGTTGTTATCTCAGAATAAAGCCTGACAGGTTTATCGGCAGCCTGATATGAAGAGGAGCACTGTTGTATCAGACTGAAGGGCTTTATTCTGAGATAACAACCATCTCGTATGTATTTTATCCCACTTATTACATGGCTACTAGCCACAGAACATAAGTATTACCCAAAAAACATTGTTCTGAGCCATAATCGCTTATTAATTCTTTAATTTGCTGACAGAGAGGAAAACAGCTGATGGAGTATACACTAACCAGTACATTATTCAGACACAAGATGGCACCAAACAGTCAAAAACGCAAAGCTGATGGTGAAGGTGATTTCAAAATAATCCTGTGTTATTTATCGATTGTTATCTTGGAATAACATACTTTGGAACCTCTTAACTGACCAATCAGAATCGAGTGTTCAAGACAGCCATGTAATTATCATAGTTAAAGTGCTTAAAGTCATGTCAATAACTTGAGTTTTAAAGAAGCCTGAGAGATGGGTATTCGGATTATGGAAGTGATGAATAAATTCTGGCTTTGGAAAAAAATATCTGTGAGCCCTCATTTACTAACAGAGCTCCTGCAAAAACAACCTCTCTGATCACTTTCTCCTCCATTAATCTGCTGTGAGAGTCGATCCCAGCACTGCTTTACCCTCATCTGCACGACAGAACGCATGAGCTTAACTCATAAAAACATGTACCCTCATGTCTACACGGACCACCAACAGAAGAAAACAGCAGGAGACTCGGGTGATGATAGATACGGATTTCAATCTGCATTTGTTTATTTATTTTTTGTTCATTAAAAAGAACCAAACCTTTTTTTTTTTGGAGAGAAATGGGCTTTTTACAGCTTTCCTATAGTTAAACAGTTGATCTTTGCCATGTTTTTAACCATTTAGCTGATCTCCAGGTCTGGAGGGAGCACTTTTAGCTTAGCTTAGCATAAAGCATTGATACGGATTAGACCGTTAGCATCTCGCTCAAAAGGGGTTTCGACAGCTTTCCTATTTAAAGCTGGATTCTTCTGTAGTAACATTGTATACTAAGACTCACAGAAAATAAAAGGTTGCTATTTTATAGGCCACATGGACAAGAACTATACTCTCAATCTGGAGTAATAATCAAGGAACTTTGCTGCAGTACCATGGCTGAAACAGGAGCAATGAAATGACGCAGTGCAAATACGAAATTGTGGGTAGGGTATTTTTATGAAGAAAATACACATTTGCAGAGCTTCAAATGAGATTTTATAATGAAGAAGTGAGTGGGAGCATCAGTAAATAAACATACGAGCATTTTTTTTAATTTTTACAATGAGTCAAGGTGTCGTTACTGCAATATACACAGTAATCCAGTATATAATTATACAGCAGTAAATTAACATTGATTGTCCTGTTTGGAAGGACAGTTTAAACTATTTTTTTCTGACACAGTATAAAGGTAATTACAACACTTGAAAACTAATTACAACGTTTTCAGCTCACATTAAATCACACAATTGCAACTTGCTGAAAACGGCAAATCTTCATCACATTTTCTATTCAAAATGTTTTGGGTTACTCATCTCAAAACTCAAGATAACTTTCTCAGTATTTCCAGAGTTTACATCTTGCAATTTTTGCTATTTGCAAATTTAAGATTGTGACAATTCAGGTAAACAAAATACTTAAGTTGTTTCACAAAGTTTACATCAAAATTTTCTTCAAAAGAACTCAAAATGTACAATTTTTCCCATTATTTTCAGAGTTTATATCTTGCAAAATTATAGCTTTTTGCTCATGCATTTTACATTGTAACATAATTCAAATTTTGTTAAGCAAAAATCTAAATTCGTTTTGTTTTAACCATTTTTTTCACATTTTCTTTCAACATTCAGCTCAATGTTCTTCAAATATTTGAGATTATATTTTATGATTCTCACTTTCTATAAAACAGGTTTAAAGTTTTTCCATTAAAAAAGTTTAAACTCAAAGCTGCAAGAAAATGGAGTTCAAGACATTCACTTTTTGCGAGTCATGGACTCTTAACTTTGAGAACAAAAATTGTAAAATGTAATCCCGGAGTTTTGAAGTAAAAGTTTGAACAGAAGTCTAAACTTAAAAATTCGGTTAAAAAAATCAGATTTGCCAGAAATTCAGAATTTTACTTAAAAAAAAAATCTGAATTGTGGGACAATGGCAAATTTGTAAAGATGTAAGCTGTAAATATTGGGGAAAAATACAAAAAAAACTGTGTATTAAAAATATTTAAGAACATTAAATATTTACAAGTAAAAAGCAACTGACAAAAAAAAGAAGGTAAATATTTTTGAACAAATGCTTGCTCTTGTGCATTTGCAATTTGTGAAAATTAAAACACAAAGTATAAACATTTTGAGTTGTTAGTAAAGAGTTTTGCATATTAAAATTTTGATCTGATTTACGAGACAAATTAAAAATTTTTCTTTAAAAATCTGAATTGTGAGAAATTGTATATAGTCTAAATATATTGGAGGGGTAAAGAGAAAAGAGTTTAGGAAAAAATTGATCCGAGGTGTAAACAAAAAAAGTCTGATTATTAAGAAATTTAGAATTTTGCTTACATTTATACATTTTTACTAAAACAAAATCATAATTGTGTCACAATCTTAAATTTGTAAAAAAAAAAAAAGAAAAGAAAAAGAGGGAAAAAAAGCAAAGAGCAAAAAGCCAAGATTTCAAGGTGTCAACTCTAAAAATAGTTGTGAGAATAGTGTTCTTAAAAAACAACAGACACACACAAAAGAAAACTATAAATCAGTCACACCTGTCTGTTTATTTCTTTTTTACTCCACTCTGAAATAAATGAATCATTGGATTTACTTTTTTTAAAGTTAAGTGGTTGCAAGCAATTTATATGGGCAGAATTAAAACAAACATATTAAGTTTTGGTAATAAACATTACTAAATTGCATTTGTTTGTTTAAACTCAGCCCATGTTAATTATTTGCAATCACTTACCTTAAAAAAAAGTAAATCCAATGAATCATTTTTAGTGCATGGCAGAATTAAGCTTGTATATGAGGTGTATGCTTATATGTGCATTAAAGCAGCTCATCATCCTGTTAATTTCTCCCTCACTCTCTACTGAAAGCCCTTTTGCAGGAACATTGTGGAGGCATGAAGTCATTTTTGTCGTTCTTCCAGAAATGAGATTCAGCCCTGATATCAGGTACACTGACAGGGAGGGAAGGAGGGAGTAAATGGATGACAGGAGGGCTTGGAAAAGAAAAGAAAAGTGATACTCTGAAATGAAAGGAGGAGGAAAACGAAGGAGTGATTGAATGTAAATGAAGCGAGTGGAAAAGAGCACAGGAACATGGAGGAAAAGAGAAAAAGGGTTCTAGTTGTTCCCTGTTGTTTTCGTTTTAAACAGGCAGCAGGAATGTGGCCTTCCTTTACCTCACCACTGCAAAACGGCCATGAAGAGAGAGAGAGAGAGAGAGAGAGAGAGAGAGAGACTGATTATTATTATTATTTAGATATTTTTATCCTAAAATGTTGATTGTTAAATGTAGATTATACTGATTTATATTTTTTACAGCTGCTAT